ATATATATATATATATATATATATATATATATATATATAGATAAATATCTATGTATATATATAAATACATATATATGTATATAAATATATATGAATATATATAAATATATATATGTATATAAATACACGTGTATATATATACATATATATATAAATAATTGTGTGTATATACATATGTGATATATATATATATCACATATGATATATATATGTGTGTGTGTGTGTGTATATATATATATATGTGTGTGTGTGTACATATATATTTGTGTGTGTGTACATATATATTTGTGTGTATAAATATATATATATATATATATATATATATATATATATTTATACACATGTACATACACACATACATGCATACATACATACACACAACTTCAAAATAACATAAATTCTCAAACTGTACTGAAAATAGTTTCTGCGTCGCAGCGCCACCAGCTGGTGAGAGGTGGTGACGTCAATTTGAACCCCGCCCACTGGAACCGGTACTGAAAGCATAATGGAAACACAACCTGTACCGTACCAAGTAGAGTAGAGCCGTGCTGTACCGGTACTACAGGTACTAATGAAAAAAGGGCATAAGGGTCTTAGTAACCCCAGGATGGCAAAACAGCTGAGACTTATGGCAAAGGTCCAGGACCTCTTTAACTTTATTGTCTGGAACAAATATCCGGTTTCTAGGACAGATGGGTGGAGGTGGGTGATCCAGATTGGCCTGCCGGAGGTCTGATTCTAGCTGGGTCATGGATAGGCGAACCTGATCTGGCAGAATAAATGACCTCAGAACTGACCATAGGAGTGTCACTCTCCTCCAAAATGCAAGACAGGGCATCAGGCTTTGTGTTCTTAGTTCTTGACCTATAGGATAAAGTTGAATTGGCAGAAAAAAATAGCCCACCTGGCTTGATGTGGATTTAACCTCTTAGCGGTCCTGAGATACTCAAGGTTTTTATGGTCAGTCCAAACAATGAAAGGTTCCTTGGCACCCTCAAGCCAATGCCTCCACTCTTCGAGGGCGAGCTTGACAGCCAGCAGTTCCCGATCCCCTACATCGTAATTATGTTCAGCAGCAGAAAGGCTCCTAGAAAAAAGGCACATGGGTGAACTTTTCCTTTGCTACTACGCTGACTAAGAATCGCTCCTACTCCAGTACTAGAAGCATCAACCTCAACAATGAATGGTTTGTTGGGGTCAGGAGCGTGGAGGATTATTGCATTAGAAAACAGTTCTTTGAGTTTATTGAAAGCAAGGTAGCTGACTCATTCCAAACAAACTTTTATTTGGAAGATGTTAATGCAGTTAACGGTCCAGAAATGAGGCTATGTATAGTCTTTAATGAATCTCCTATAGAAATTGGCAAAGCCAAGGAATCTTTGTAACTGCTTTCTATTTTTAGGAATGGACCATTCAGGAACAGCAGAGACTTTGTTAGTATCCATGGTTACCTGGTCTGGCGAGATAACAAACCCCAGAAAGGAAGTGGAGGTTTGATGGAATTTGCACTTCTCTGCTTAAACAAAAAGGTTGTTTTGTAGCTGTCTTGTAAGCACAGCTCTGACATGTTGACTCTGACAGTCTAAGTTCTTAGAGAAAATCAAAATATCATCAAGGTAGACAAAAACAAATCGATTAATCATGTCCCTCAGGACGTCATTCACAAGAGCCCGAAAAACAGCTGGTGCGTTGGTGAGACCAAAAGGCATTACCAAATACTCGTAGTGTCCATTGGGTGTGTTGAACGCTGTCTTCCATTTGTCCCCTTCCCTGATGCAGATCAGATGATAGGCATTTCTTAGGTCAAGTTTAGAGAAGACTGTTGAAACCTGGATTCAATTCAATTCAAATTCAATTCAAAAATACTTTATTAATCCCAGAGGGA